TATGTTGCAAAAACACACACACACAGACACACACACACAGACACACACACACACACACACACACACACACACACACACACACACACACACACACACACACACACACACACACACACACTATATATATATATATATATATATATATATATATATATATATATATATATACATATAACATAGTGTATAGGACTGCCATATTTTCGAGCGTACTTCCTCGTTGAAGTATCTTAAATAAATACAAAACAAAATAGAATAACAAAAGAATTCAGGTACAGACGTGACCCCGAGAGGAAGCGCCGTGAGAGGGTGAGCAGCTTTCACAAATTTCCTAGTGAGTATCAAGGGGAAAGTGTGAAGATAGCATGTCTTTTTCTTAAGGCTTATAACTGTTATGCTGCCTACGTTTCTATTTTTTTTCTTCTTCTTCTTCCGTTTCAATATATTTTTCTTTAATCTTTGGGTTGTATTAACACTGGCATTGTGAGACAATAGGTGTGAAAGGAAGAAAGGAGATATTTTAGAAAGAGGAGATGAGAAATGAGAAAGCAAAAGGATGAAAAGTGGGAGAGTAAGTAACAGGGTGACTAAAATGTTTTAGTGGATAAGGTATAAGGGATGATTTAGGGTGATTTGTAGCGTTTAAATCATCTAAACTGAGCGATAAAAGAATGACAAGGGAGAAACGAGAGAAGAGCAGAGGTTGAAAGAACTGCGAGTAGAGCAAATGCAGAATCGATAGCTTGGAGCAATAGACAATAGAACAAAACAACAACAATGTAGAAGAAGATGGGATTATGGGGCGTGAGAAAATAACAACAAACAAATAAGCAAAAACTTAACGCGTCCCTCGAAAAAAAAAATGACCCGCGAACTAGCAGCGGTCACGCTAGCGCTGCAACTAGCACTGACCACGCTTTAGCTCGATGTAGTATTTAAGAGCTTTCGGTCCACAGCGGTAGACGAGCTGCTTCTCGGACACTGGCTGAAGGGCGCCGGTCGAGTAGTGGTATCTGCCGGAGCAAAAAAGGGATTTGTTGTTTAAAAAGAAGAAAACGAAGCGTACATGCAATGATATTGCAATAAACACTGCTGTAGGATATTCAAGATCTGCGCATTTACTGACAAGGGAAGCAGCAAGTGTTATTTGAAAAAAATACGATAAAAAAGGTAAACACACACACACACACACACACACACACACACACACACACACACACACACACACACACACACACACAAGCTATACTCAAACTCACCTCAATCCCCGAGCAAAGTTATCATAAGAAAGATTGGGTTTGTCGGCGCGCTGGCCCCACATCTTGGCGATGGTCGTGGGCTGCACTAGACGGAAGGTTCCCTCACTCTGCTCCTCCCAGCGAATGAGCGAGGGATTGGTGCTCGGGTCGGCCAAGAGGCGGATCACGAACTCCCAGTTCTTCGGGCCGCGTTCTGTGGGGAGGGGGGGAGGTATGTCCGTCAGTGGAGGTTGTCATAAAAGGAATATATATATAGGTATGTATATATATATGTATATCTCTATCTATCTATCTATCTGTCTATATGCACACACACATACATGTGTGTGTGCGTGTATATATATATATATATATATATATATATATATATATATATATATATATATATATATATATATATATATATATATATATATATATATATATATATATATATATATATATATATATATATATATATATATATATATATATATATATATATATATATATATATATATATATATATATGTATATATACATATATATATATATATATATATATATATATATATATATATATATATATGTATATATATATATATATATATATATATATATATATATATATATATATATATATATATATGTATATATATATATATATATATATATATATATATATATATATATATATATATATATATATATATATATATATATATATATATAAATGAACGAGAGATCGAGAGCTCGGCCTATTTTTGCTTACCTCTCTTCTTGGCTTCCGGCCTGATTTTCTTGAGTGGATCGCTGGCTCCTTTGGCGTCTGCGCTTGCCGAGATCATGGCCACGGGTTCGGGACACAGCGCCGGCTCCTCTGTGGAGGGGAGGATGGAAAAAAGGGTCATACGAAGCCAAAACGTTTGTAGAAAGTCGGTGAATTTTTTTTTCTTCAGTCAAATGGCTATGCATAATGAAACGTGCTTCATTTGATTAAAGTGAATTGCTTGACTTTGTTTTAAATTCGTTCCCCAGAAAGAGAGCAAAAGGAATACCCAAAAGAGAAAGAAAGAAAGAATTGAAGGAAATATCTGTCTCCAAATGTGCGTCAGGAACTCAATCGCGAACAAATAAACAGTCTCGTTGAAATACTACACAGGGTGGGTGAACGTGTACATATTCTTGTTACTTATTTGGTTTTATGGCTTTCTTTTGTTTATCTTTTCATAACCCTGTGATCTATTAAAACGTTCAAGTTATCA